GTTAGATAACAGTTAGATAACAGATACACCCCAGTGCCTGAAAAGATGAGTTTGCGATGGGAGCGCTGCAAGCGACGGGAGAGCGCGGGGGCGTCTGCTGCCCCGGACCCACCCCACCAACCCCTTGTCCCAACTACGCCCGGAGAGTTCCTGTCTTAAATCCACCTTATAGGGGTATAAAGGAGATTTCAACGCACGGCACATTTTAAGTGTTAGCAAGAGACAAAAACAGTCCTCCACAGCCACTCGGGAAGGGGGGCACCCGAAGGGCAGATGGTCGCGGCATGGAAGAGTAAGAAGAGGGAGGCTCACAAAATGACAGAGAAGACGACCGACGAAGGGAGTGAGAGAGCCGCAAAGAATACTACGAACTGCCAAAAATGCAAATTCTCCCCTGTACTGCCCCCACTCACTCCCTCACCCCCTTTCCTCCTGCTCGTCCTCATTTTGTTTTGCATTAATTCACCGGCGCCAGCGACCCTCTCGCTGCAAACAACACAGGTCCTGCCACCTCTCCACGTGCCTCCCCCCTCCCCCCACCCTCCTCCTCTTCAACCGCTCTCGCATTGTCCTGTTTTCTTTATTTTCTTTTATTCCACGCATTTATAATTTGCCCCGCTAGATTTATGGGGCGTTTTCAGCGCGCGGCGCTCGCGGTGTTCTAGTCCGCGCGGGAAAATTAGCCTGGAGAGCAGGGTGATAAAACGACTGCATTCGGTCGAGAGAGAGAAGAGGGGGGGGGGGGGCTTGGAATAATACCTGAAGATTAAAGCGAAAACATACTCTTTTTTCAAATTTCTTAAAAAAGAACATCGAGAAGAAAACTTATTTGTGAAATTATTGAATTATTATTGTTAGTTTTTTAGTTGTTAATTAGCTAACCAGCTCACCTATTTAACGAAGTAATAAGCTTACTCCCCCCCCCCCGGTGGTTACTCTCACTGCTGGGGTACAGGCAAGGGCAAGGAAGGCCGAAATCTGATCCGAAGTAGGTTCAGTCGCTCTACTCTGCCGCTCCACTGCACAGCGTGTCGCACTAATCAATGTGGACAGCGGGCACTAGTGCTTTCCCCCCCGGTGGAGAGAGCTCCCGCTAGCGGATGACATTGCATTCGCCGGCAATTCGTCACAATCGTCGGCGGGGATCACGTCGGGACGGAGGTGACACGCACGCGAGCGCGCTATATAGCGAGCAGGATAAGTCGCTGTCCTGTGCGTGGTCGGCGTGCGTCACTTGTGGCCGGGTGGGGGAGGAACAGGCCAGTGGGCCGAGGTAAGTCAATTACCCCTGCGGATCGCGCTCTCTCTCTCTCTCTCTCTCTCTCTCTCTCTCTCTCTCTCTCTCTGCTCCCCTCCGCGCCGCCCTCGCAACCCCGCGCACCGCCCGCGCACCGCGGCGCGCAGGCAAGGAACTCGATCATCTAAGTGATTAATTAATTAATTTTTGGTGAGTAGGCCCAACGGCAGATGAATGGCAATGAGGTTAGGGGGTGCGGCTAAAGGGGAGAGGGCGTGAGGAGCGAGCAACCCTGCCGTGGCCGTGGTGATCACGGTTGCAAAAAGGTACACACTGACGACCATAGGCACGGTTTAAGGGGGGGGGGCGACTGCCCCTCCCCCTCCCAATCGTCTCTGGCGAGCCGCCTGAAAGGAAGGCAATTTGTGCCACAAAAAACCTGTAAGTAGGCAACCCGTGGTGCACCGCCCCTGCTGACGATGCGGAGAACACTGTAAGACACAGCGGGAATTTTCCGACAAAAATCTTGCTGCTGGAAGTATCCTCTACACCTTTTGGCAACTTTCGTGCT